GTGGTGAATGGGGGAGTCTCAGTTACATGACCTTACTGTATGGCAGGACTTTTGGCATCAAGTATAGTCTGGAGGGCAGGACACTTATTCTTGTGTGCGTTGTTGGTGTGAAATTGATGAATTGATGAGCTGTTGCAGTCCATGAGTACTCTGCTGTTATTTATATGATGTAGCTTAATAACCTGTTTTGGGTTGGTTCGTTTAATAATTTGCATTCTCTATTGGAAGCAGAAAAAAACCAAAAAGATTTGCGTTCTCCAGAAAAATTTCCTCTGTCTGTATTGTGTGTTTTTGTTGTTACTTTTAATCTTTGTAGTAAATTCAGAGTCTTATCTTGACTTTTACATTTGTGTTGTGGTGCCGTGGCAGAGAGCTAGACAGTGAAGCTGAAATTGCTGATCCTGATATCCCCAACCCCGACCCTTACATTTTAGCAGTCTGTAAAGAAATAGAAACAAGCCTTCAACAATTAGAGCCTTGTGTAGGGAATGATACTGTTAGCAAGTGAAGTAAGTGGAAAGGTGGCTCTGAGTTGTAGCCATCTAAAAAAAATTTGGAGAAAGCTTATGTTGTTACACTGATAATATTATTGTTGAATTTTTTAAAATGAAAACAGGCAAAATCAGGATATAACGTTGAATATTTTGCATGTGTATCAAGTAATGTATCTTAAGTGAGATTATAAAAAAGTAACATATAGTTCTAGATACGCTCCTTAACTGATGGTGAGGGCCATTAAAATTATAAATTCTTTTTTTTTTTTTCTGTTTTTTGTCCTAAGGTGGCAGTCATTTGCTATGTGTTGGGTAATGGAAGGAGAAAGAGGAAGAGAAGGTTATAATGGTTTGAGGTTTTATTAAACCCAAGTAGATGAAAGTTTACCTGGAGCATATTTAATTTATTAATTGACTTTTTTTTTTTTAAATAGTATCCTTCCTGCAAGAACAAAAAATGAATGGCTTTTGACTTTTTATCGTTAGCCTTACTTCTTCCCTTCTTGCAAATTACAGAAATATATATAAAAGGCCCCCTCAAATTGTTACAGGGAAGGCAATCTTTGAAGACCAAAATAGGCA